ATAAAGTGTGAGTCCAAATGTGCGTGTACGCATGTGCGTGCGCGCGCTAGCGACTACAATTGTGTTTTTATGACTTTCTGCTGATCGTGGCTACACCGCCTCTTCTGTAAAGGCTTCAAATTATTAAAAAAAAACTTTTTTAAATTTAAAAACAGAACAGAGAATTTGTCCCGATGCTATTAATTTTATTTAGCTGCTGATTAAAGTATTTTATCTATGAAGGTATGAAACTATAATAACACACAGCTCCATTCACTATATTCACTATTCACATAGCCTCGTTCACTCAGGCTATGTTTTTGCCATTCATAAATGCTTTATATCTTACAATCATACTCCGTTGGATGCATCGAAGAGCAGCTTGGGGTTAATATTTGACATGCAGACTGTATGCCAAATATCCACCAAGCCTGTGATTAGTAGATGACCTTCTTTACCTCCCGAGCTGCCCCCCCCCAATTTATATAATCGGCATTAGCATCACACTGGGGAAGTATTCCGCTTCACCAGATACATTCAGATTATGGACTTTTTAAATTGAACATTACTGTAAATGAGCCCCCCAATTTTTTAACTTTTTAGAAATTTTCAACTAGTGTCCAGTTTTAATTATGACCTATATATCTTTATCAAAATACACTAAAGGCCAAGGCTGTGGGACCTAGAGGTGCTGGGGGTCGAAAAAGGCAGACCTCGTAAATAAATAAAGGTTTAAACACTTAGTGCTAATTGTGTCATTTTTGGAATTGTCTTAAATTAGTTACACTCCCCCTCCGCCCCTGACAAAATGACGTTACATACTAGTGAACGGTAGAAGTGGTGGATTAAAATGTCTGTGAGTTAAATGTCCTCACAGATATCACAGATACACGTCGGAACAGCAAGTCACGTTTGGACCATTATGACCTGCACCCAGATGAAGGTAACGCTTTGGTTTATTATGATGCGCAGTTTGACTTTATAATTATTCAGTAATTTCACAGTCCTGCCTTTGTTGCAGAAGGGTAGGCTACTTCACAATCCGTATAAATTTTGCATTAGGGCCGAGTACGAAAATATCTATATTTGGAAAGGTTCTGGTCAGCTATGCGAAAATATGTTATTTTATATATATGTATGACTTGTAGCTGACAGACTTGTATACTGCTGTTTGTGCCTGACTTGTGTGTACGCGCGCACGCACGCGCGCACTTGAGCATCTTCAGCTTCAAGTCTTTAGCTCTGCTAAAGACAATCACCAAAGTTAACTACTGGGTGATTTCGTCATGTAGTTTATCCAGAGTGTAATGGTTTGCATATATTCGCCTTAAAAACGGAAGGTTTCCGGGACACAATTCCCTCTGGGGTTGTGCAGGGCATCCGGATCGTGCCGAAAACTGATTTCCGGTTTTCATTATTAAAAACAAAAACTTGTCAAACCTATGTCATTAATGATATAAATTAATTTTAAGCCAGAAACGACATTTCAGTTAGAGGGCAGAAACTGAAATCGGCTTTTGGTAAAATGCCCTTTTATAGATCCTCCGTGATCCAGGCAAAGGAGCGTCGCTGACATTAAAAAAGGATTTCTTTAGAGTGGTCTGGCCAAAAGTGCAGCAGAAATTGCGACACTTATCCCATAATAGTTCTATAAAGATATTTTATTAAGTATCCAAAAATGACTGGATTGTTTCTAATATAGGTACAGTAACACAGAGTCATAAATGTACTTGCATTTCTTTATTTTACATATAACAATATAATAATATTGACTATGAACCAACATAAGCAAATACATTTCACATAAAGAAAAAACAATAAAATTCGCAGTCA